ACAGAACGCATATTTCGCGCATTTTCTAGACGGACATCTATTACTGTTGCACTCGCGTCTCGCACAAAAGAGCCGCATGTTTAGAAAGCCATGTAAAAATAATGTAAGTTTAACTTTGAAAAAAACATATATCGAGACTTTATGGCCGGTTTCTCATGTTTTTAAATGAAAAATGTACTCTGTGTGATTGGCTTTCCGCCCTGTCCGCATACATACATGATGCTGTTTTGTTTATAGTTGTTTAAGCAACTTATTTATAATTGGTTTATAAACATTATTTTAAACATTATGCACTTTTTTTCGCAGATAGTCATGTTATCTCATGCTTTGAATGATGCGGCCTCAGGAGAGAAGCCAAAAGCTTTTCTTCACCCTAACTGAAATTATGCATTTTAAATTCGAATATAATTCGAATTTTGATAATATTTAAGTACAAAATTCGAATTTAGTTTTTCAGCCATTTTGACATCCCTAGAGGGCAGACAGGAAATGCTCTTACTCTTGATTGTATTTTGACTCTTTTCTCTCTCTCAGCACAAACTGGAGGGTGCGCTGTTGGCTCTAGGTCAGTTCCAGCATGCTCTCTCTGAGCTGCAGTCTTGGCTCAGTCACACTCACGCCACACTGGACACCCAGCGACCCATCAGCTCTGACCCCAAGGCCATCGAAATTGAGCTGGCTAAGCATCATGTATGGAATATTTGGGACATTTCTATATACTCTACTTTTTTATTTCCTTTTTAAAGCAGTTTCCTGTAATCAAGCTGTCTTTGTAGGTTTTAAGAAATGACGTGCTGTCCCATCGGACTACAGTGGAGACGGTGAACAGCGCAGGCTCTGAGCTGCTGGAGTCCAGTCCTGGAGACGAAATCAACCACCTGAGAGACCAGCTGGATGAGCTCAACCGCAGCTGGAAGAACCTTCTGCTGAAGACTGATGAGAGGCAGAAGCTTTTGGAAGCTGCCCTGCAACAGGTGCTCTCTAGATATTACTACTGCATCATTATACAGAGAGATCTGATTGAAAGCACCAATAAAAACAAGTGCATCTGCATATGTTTGTAGCCTGAAATGCACCATTTGCAATGTATTACATTCAAGTCGACCCAATAAAATGGATGCAGTTTGGAGGGCTGCTGTGCAGCGAGAATGGTTCTCTTGAATATTGTAGTACAGGTGTCGGATCAATTAGCTCATTGTCTTTCCCCTGCATGGTTTCTGTGTCAGGCGGAGGGTTTCCATGGAGAGTTGGAGGAGTTTCTGCAGTGGCTCAGACGCACAGAGAGTCAGCTGTCCGCTGCCAAACCCACAGGTGGCCTGCCTGAGACCGCCAGAGAGCAGCTGCAGCAACACATGGTACACAAAATGAGTTCACCTCTAGTCCACTCATTAGATATCCAACCACTCTCAAAGGAGCATTTATTTTGTTTTATTTATTTAGAATTCTTTGGAAATGACAAGAAATGACATTAAATGAAGAACATAGTCAGGAATATGTTGCCTTTGCATTCTATTAGGAAAAGCTTAATTGCGTTATATTATTATTTGTGACCCTGGACCACAAAACCAGTCATAAGTAGCACGGGTAGCAATAGCCAACAATACATTTTATGGGTCAAAATGATAGATTTGCCAAAAATCATTAGGATATTAAGTAAAGATCATGTTCCATGAAGATATTTTGTAAATTTCCTACCGTAAATATATCAAAACTTAATTTTTGATTAGTAATATGCATTGCTAAGAACTTCATTTGGACAACTTTAAAGGCAATTTTCTAAATATTTAGATTTTTTTGCACCCTCAGATTCCAGATTTTCAAATAGTTGTATCTCAGCCAAATATTGTCCTATCCTAACAAAAACCATACATCAGTGAAGAGCTTATTTATTTCAGATGATGTGTAAATTTCAAAAAGTTGACCCTTGTGACTGGTTTTGTGGTCCAGGGTCACATTTGTTAACAGTGTTAATTTAGTGATTTTTTTATATTTTGAATTAGATTTTTTTTATTTTAGTTTTAGAAATGTTGTGCTTTCGTAATTTTTATTAGTTTTGTTTTTTAATATGTCTATTTAGCTTTAATTTATTTGACAGCATTTCTAATATTCGATTACGTTTTTCATCTGTTAGTTATATTTCAGCTTTATTTCAGTTAACAAAAACGCATTTAGTAGTTTTAGTTAATCGCAACACTTTTTGACAATCAACTTATCCTGCTCTTTCCTGTTTATAGGAGCTCCAGGGTCAATTGACCCAGAGGAGTGAGCAGTACCATCGGCTACTAGATAAGGGAGAGTCCATTCTGCTGGCCAGAGGAGGGGAGGATGCTGGACCTGGTACCACCCAGACCCAACAGAACCTGGCTATGCTACAGAACAAGTGGGCCAGTCTCAATGCGAAACTGGATGACAGAAGGGTGAGATTCATGACCTTACATTCATGTGTAAATAACAGATTTGATAATTAATGAACAGATGAATGAAGTGTCTAGTTCTGCCTTCCAATCCTAAGATGCCTCTGTGTCCGTTTCTTTCCACAGGGTAAACTGGAGGAAGCTGTCTCATTGGCGACAGGATTCCAGACCTCCCTGCAGGACACCATAAACTGGCTGACACAGGCAGAGCAGACTCTCAACATGGTTCAGCCACCCAGCCTCATTCTCGACACCGTCCTATTCCAGATAGATGAGCACAAGGTTGGTCAGAAAATGTGGCTTGCTTAAGTACTACATATATTCTTTGCTTTTGTTAAGAGTTTTGATAATGTACTACTTTTGAGTAACTTAAGTCCTTGTCTTTATTCCTGTATGTTTCAGGTGTTTGTGAATGAGGTGAACACTCACAGAGAGCAGGTTCTGGCTCTGGAGAAAGCTGGCTCTCAGCTGCGGTTTGCCAGTCTCAAACAGGATGTGGTTCTTATCAAGAACCTGCTGCTCAGTGTACAGGCCCGCTGGGACAAACTGGTGCAGAGATCACTAGACCGAGGACGCCACCTGGATGAGGCCCGCAAGAGAGCCAAACAGGTATATTTTGGTTTACCTCACTCCGTGTTGCTCTGATAATGCCTTTCTCTGTGTCTGAAGTTGGCAGTCTTCTCTTGTCTAGTTTCATGAGGCCTGGAGGAAACTGACAGACTGGTTGGAGGAAGCAGAGAGCAGGCTGGACTCTGAGCTGGAAATCTCTAATGAGCCTGACAAGATTAAAGTCCAGCTGGCCAAACATAAGGTACAACCAACATGCATTAAAATGCTATGTGAAGTTCAAAACTTTTAGACTTGTCTCTTATGCCCTCTTATCTGTTAATCACTGTACTGCAGGAGTTCCAGAAGTCTCTTGGCTCCAAGCAGCCGGTGTATGACACGACGGTGCGCTCTGGGAAGGCCATGAGAGACAAGGCCACACTGTCCGCGGATACACAAAAACTGGACAACTTGTTGGGCGAGGTCCGTGACAAATGGGACACAGTTTGTGGAAAGAGCGTGGAGAGGTGAGAAATTCTGGCATCTGACTTTTTGAGCCATTTGAGTAATGATTGAATGTTTAATATAGTGAAGAAAAGAAAAGAATTTGAAATCTTTTTCTCCTCAGGCAACACAAGTTGGAGGAAGCCCTCTTGTTCTCAGGTCAGTTTGCTGAGGCTCTCCAGGCACTTGTTGACTGGCTGTATCGTGTGGAACCTCAGCTTGCAGAGGACCAGCCTGTCCATGGAGATCTGGATCTTGTTTCCAACCTAATGGATTCCCATAAGGTACTAATGGAGTGATTCTCAGGAAATGTTGCTTTCAAAGATTTTAAACATGAAATCTGAAGACTTGCATCAACAAATTTCCTTTTTAGTCATTAATGACAAGGTCTATAGTGTCTGTCACTCTGTGAGCATTCATTTATAAAGATTTTACTCATTTTAATCAATTACAAGAAGTCTGAAAATTTCAAGCTAATACTTTTTCACATTTCTTTGATTATTAACAGTCAGTCACATTTAATACATTTAATTTGTTACTGCAGCTGTCTGAAAATGTCAATTTCATCAGGAAAGCTAATATACATTTTTTAATTTTGTTTATTTATAACAATCAAGCATAGTTTCTTGAAACATTGAAAATACATATATTTTTTTTACTTTATTTGAGTGATTTCTCTCATTACTGCAATCCCTTCCGCAATTTACAACCTAATATTTTTTTTATATTTTTTACCAGATTGTATCATTATAGACACAGTAGCTGCGTGCCATTACCCTTCAAATTGCGCAAATTGAAATTGCGAATTGAAAATATGCCCAATGGAGACAATTTCACAAAAACCCTCATATATCACAAAAAAAAAATTTTTACGCTCGCACGAGGTGGTTTTTCAGGCAATTTGAAAAAGGAATATTTCGTAAAACTGCAATGGAAACAGTTTTTTTGCATTTACAGGTCACCAGGTCACCTATGTAAAAGTGACAGGATCATTCTTTAATATACTATAACCTCCAAGAAACACCTCATTCATGGCCACTCTCAAGTATAAGGGGCTTTCCTTGCCATTAATGCTTGGAAAACCCCTTATTTACACTGCATACGTCTGTGGCACATTACGGCTCCGACACGGCCACTCTAGTCAATGCTTGTGTTTACACCAGCCGCGCCACGGCAGGTTTCAGAAGCGGCTCTCCTCGCTCCTTCTCTAAAGATACGCACATCCATCTCCTTTGATTAAAAATAATGGCTAGTGCATTGGCTGCAATATACATAAACCTAACAACATCTGTCGCCATGACTTAGTGCAAGAGGAAAAAATTCCAAGTTTTAGTAGCATAACATGGGTGAATGGAAACGCCGTCATTTCGCAATAGTTTTTTATGGACATATATCAAATATCGCAAAAGTTTCCACAAATCTGTAATGGAAACGCACCTAGTGAGGCTTGAATGAGACTTTTACTAGGAAGGACATTTCTGAGTAGGAAAGAGATTAAAGTGGTTGTGTTTTATTTATTGTTCCTCAGGTCTTCCAGAAAGAGCTGGGAAAAAGGACCAGCAGTGTGCAGGCTCTGAAGCGGTCTGCCCGAGAGTTGATGGAGACAGGCCGGGATGACACCGCCTGGGTCAAAGTTCAACTGCAGGAGCTTAGCAACCGCTGGGAAACAGTCTGTGCCCTGTCCGTTTCCAAACAGACCCGGCTCCAACAGGCTCTCAAACAGGTATGTCTGACTGTTTTTTAGATATTGAATGAAACCAATAGTAGTGTGAATATTTTCTTCTGACTATCTATTTTCTCTCTTTTTCTGCAGGCAGAAGAGTTCCGCACAGCTGTTCAAATGTTGCTAGAGTGGCTTTCGGAGGCGGAGCAAACATTGCGTTTCCGGGGCGTCCTGCCAGAGCAGGTAGAGACTCTGCAGGCACTACTGCACACGCACCGGGATTTCATGCAGACGGTGGAGGAGAAGAGAGTGGATGTGAATAAGGCTGCTGGCATGGGTGAAGCCATCCTAGCTGTGTGCCACCCAGACTGCATCACAACCATCAAACACTGGATCACCATCATTAGAGCTCGCTTTGAGGAGGTATGAAGCCTGTCTAGGCCAAAAGTTAGATAAATGTCTCCGCCTACTTTAATAGGTCTGAAATGTGTATATAATACAAAAGTCATATAATAATGTTTGCTCTACAGGTGCTGACGTGGGCCAAACAGCACGAGCAGCGCTTGGAGATGGCTCTGACTGAATTGCTCACCAATGCTGCACTACTGGAGGAGCTGCTGTCATGGCTACAGTGGGCAGAGACCACACTGGTGCAGCGTGATACTGAACCACTCCCCCAGGACATTACTCAAGTGAAGACACTAATCACAGAGCATCAGGTGAGCGGGACAACTCCATTCATCAACGGTCCCTCTGTCTTTTATATTAATTGCGTTGTTTAGTGCAGAGAGGTTTCTTATTGGTTTTGTTGTCTTCCATCAGATGTTTATGGAGGAAATGACCCGAAAACAACCTGATGTTGACAAAGTGACAAAGACATACAAGAGGAAACCAGCAGAACATCCCAGCAGCCTTTCAGACAGGAGAGGGGCCCGTAAGAGACTTTATCCACATCTGCACACATACTGCATACAAACACAAAACCTTTACATACGCTACTGTTTAATTGTTTGTGGTTGGTGTTTGGTATTTTTTAAATGTTTTTAAAAGAAGTATCTCACGCTGGGCAGCATTATTTTGATTAAAAACACAGTAAAATATTGTGAAGTATTATTACAATTATTGCAAATGTTGAGTGGTAGTGTAGATTTGAGCTTCAGTAACTGCTCACTGCTTAATACTGTGTGCAGTGTATATTGTATACTCCCTATTATGTTTTAAAAATAGGATGATAAAGAGATGAAGCAATTATAAAGGATACAACATAGAAAAATAGAAATTGAAGGTCAAATCAAGCACTGTGCATATGTACAATAAATGTGTATGCTGTGCATAGTATGCATACTTCAGAATTTAATTAGTACAGTAGTGTGCTATTCTGAACATATTTTCTGTGCTCTCCTTACAGGAAAACACCAGCAGCAGCAGCAACAGCAGCACTCAGTACAGGTAACCAGTGGTAACCCTCGCCTCACTCAGCTCTGCTCCCGCTGGCAACAAGTGTGGCTGCTCGCCCTCGATCGCCAGCGCAAGCTGAATGATGCACTCGACAGACTAGAGGAGGTATTGCATCTTTGTGTACTAGTAGTAAAGTGATATCAAACTCACGAAATCTGAACAGTAGAAGTAATAATGACCTTTCTCCACCATCAGCTTAAAGAATTTGCCAACTTTGACTTTGATGTGTGGAGGAAGAAATACATGCGCTGGATGAACCACAAAAAGTCTCGAGTCATGGACTTCTTCCGACGCATCGACAAGGACCAGGATGGAAAGATCACCCGCCAGGAGTTTATCGATGGCATCTTGGCATCAAGTACGGCCTCATGGACTTGCCTGCTGATCTTAGTTTTCATGTACCTTTTTTAAATGTCACTTTAACTATGCATTTTGTTTGCAGAGTTCCCTACCAGCAAGCTGGAGATGACAGCTGTTGCTGATATCTTTGACCGTGATTGTGATGGCTACATCGACTATTATGAATTTGTGGCTGCTTTGCACCCCAACAAAGATGCTTACAGACCCACAACAGATGCTGATAAGATCGAGGATGAGGTATGGACGATGAATTTTGTAGATTTGGCATGATAATGTAGTTTTCATATGTTTAAGCTGAATTAAATCCACGTTTTTTTTAAATCTCAGGTCACCAGACAAGTGGCCCAGTGCAAGTGTGCCAAGAGGTTTCAGGTGGAGCAGATTGGAGAGAACAAGTACAGGGTGAGAATCTGGAGCCCAACAGTAATAATCAAGCATGAATTCAAGTCTAGAAGTTTTAATGCATTTAATATGACATTTATAAAAGTGTATAAATGAGCTGCTTTATCTCACCACACCTTCTCATTCAGATCATCCCTGAGCTTGCCATTGTAATATTATGACTCTAACCAGCATCACACTCTTTCAGTTACATCAGTATGACTTGGTCATTTTGAAACAAAGGTGCCTTGTGTGTGTACGCAATACCACCATAATACTTCACACCCAACTAATGATCAACCCATGAGACGTGGCTGCTGCAATCAAGATCACTGAGTGGTCTTTCATACCTCAGCATCATTATCCATTGGTTAATGATCTTTGACAAGACCGTTTACTAACTTGTTGCATTACACAGGCTACAGATCCACAATGCTAACTCCACATCCTGATGTTTGTCTGTCTTTGTCTGTCTCTTTACTACTTCACCTTCTGTGGTGTCCTCATTGTGTTTGTTTTCAAGCAACCATTCACAAGCACTCTACCCTGCTTATAGCAACAAATCGCCACGCTCCCTGTGGACATTTTCTCCATTGTATGCTGTCTTTAGGAATAGTTAAAAGGAAGTGAATCATTATACCAGCATAAAAGGTTAATGTGTTTATGTCTGTATCTGTTATTTCATTCTTTTTTTCTTTTCTTTCCTCTTGTTTTATTCCTCCTCCATGTGCACCGAACTTTTTATAGTTCTTCCTTGGGAATCAGGTAAAGTGAGCCGTGTGTTTGTGACATGTCCTCTGAAATCTGTTGCCTCTGTACAGTTCCCATGAGCTCCCACTGTAGAAGCTGGTCTTTTATTCTGGGGTTTTTCAGAGAGCCAGATCTAAATCAGTACGGGACAGTTTCTGCATAGACTAGCTAAGAATTCCCTGTGGACAGCCCACATTCTCGGCTGCTGTCTGAAATGGGGATTTCTTTAGTCCCTTCCTGCTTTCTCAGTGGGCATTTCCTGTCTGGGAGAGAAAAATTGCAGTACTATTGCCAAAATATTAAATGCATTTATATACACCTTCCAAATCCAGAGGCAGATTTCAAAGGTTCAGCTTATGTGTTGTGGTTGGGATGTGCTTGTTTTTTTTTTATTGAAAATGATTTATTACGATCAGGAAATGATTCAGATTTACAGGGCTTTTTGTTATGATTTTAGGTTTTTTTGGCTTTTGGTGGAGGAAAACTATCCAATGGCTGATTTCTTGACTTAGAGAAAATAAACCTTCAACCAAAGCAATTATTTGAAGTAAAAAAGGACAAACGTTCAGAGAAAAATTCCAGAGAATTGCTGTGGTGTGGTGTTTATTGTAGAGATGGGATTTTGAACTGGGCAAGCTTTAACATAAATCATGTAGATTTAAAAAAAAAAATGTGGTTTGCTGCATGTCGCAGTGTGATTTCCTATGATTTGCCTGGCGTGTCATAATATAATTAGTATAATTAACTAATATGAATATGATCTTAAAGCAATAGTTCACCCATTGTAGTTCACATAGTTATTTGCTTGACCTCATGTCATTCCAAACTTCAGTGTTATTTATTTATTTATTTATTTATTTATTTGTGGAATATAAAAGGAAACATTTTGAAGAATATTCATGCAAATCCTTCCTTCTGTTTTTCACACTAAAAATGACAGCATACTGGTTTGGAGCAACATGAGCAGAACTGTAATGTTTGGGGTGGACTGTCCTTTTATAAAATGATAATCCTTTATCTCTCTGTCTGTCCTCTTCCCTCTCATATCCACGTTTGTTCCTCTCCACTCTTCCTCTTCTTTCCTCAGTTCGGAGACTCACAGCAGCTGCGTCTTGTACGAATCCTGCGCAGTACAGTCATGGTCCGGGTTGGAGGAGGGTGGATGGCGCTGGATGAATTCCTGGTGAAGAACGACCCTTGCCGAGGTAAGTCTGACATAAGCGCTGGAGGAAACTTGCTCTTTCTGGACATGAAAAAGAATTCCAGGAAGTGCTGCTCGACACTGACAGACACAGCATTATTCATATTTCCACTCAATACTTTTATCATTTATCTCATCATCTTTCACTTCATTCTTTTCTCTGAGTGTTCTCATCTTTTCAGTACTATCCGAGTTCACTCTCATCTCATCTTCCATCATTTACCTATTACTTCCTGACCTCATTCCCACTGTGGTTTTTTTTTTGTATGCATGGCCTACACATTTGGCCCTTTCTCTCTTTCTCCCTGTCATTCTCCTTTTTTTATTTTGTGTAATTGTAGTGCATGATGCATGTTCCTTAGGTCTTTCCCTCCCTCTTTCTCTGCCCCGTCCCCTATCTCTCTTTCTCTCTCCCCAGTGCAACATCCAGGACTTAAAATCCTCCGTTCTGACTCCAGCAGCTCCATATCATCTCGCATAGGTTGGGTTTTTCTCTCTCCTTCTCGTTGAGATATTCTTCTTTTTCACTCGTTTGGTTTCCCTCTCTTTCCCTCTGTTTCGCTCACACCTCGTTTGGTTCTTTGTTGCTTTGCTGTGCTTTGCTGACCGTGACACTGATCTAATCGGCCCCGACCCTCACGCCTGGAGCTCATAATGGATCAATTGCGCTTTGAGAATTCTGGCTCAGTTGTTTACATCACTTAATGCATATTTATATTCATATTTATAATTTATATATTATACAGTTTATTCCCTTTTGCTGCCAAGCAAGAGGTCTTAACAGAAAAGTTCACCCAAAAATTCAAATTCAAAATGTGGTTCTAAACATGTATGACTCTTTTTTCTTTTTTTTTTGTGAAACATAAAAGAAGATATTTTGAAGAATGTTTAAGCTGCTCTTTTCTATGCAATGCAAGTAAATGAGGAACGCTAGATTTAATGTCAATCAATTTGAGGTGATTGACATCTGCTAAATTTTTCATTAGTACATGTTTGGAACGAATTGAAGGTGAGTAAGTGATAACCAAATTTTTGGGTGAATTATCCCTTTCAGCAGAACGTGAGTGTGCGTATGTGACTCTTTCTGTGGGATGGTGTGAATGCGTGTTTTCACGTTGTCTCTTGTGTCTCTCAGTGACGGTCACTGCTGGCTATTTCTGCTGCAGAGGTACCTCATCTTCTCTCCTTTCTCACCTCTTTTCCTGTTTGACGGCATCTGTCTGTCTATTTCATTCTGAGCCTCTAAACCTTTTTGTTCAGCTTCCAGTCCATCCCATTACTGCTGTGTCTTTTAGTATATGTAGTGTGTGTGTGAGCGTGTGAGGTCTATGTGTCGGCTAGCATCATGCTAACCATTCAAACCAGGCTTGGCCAGGCCTGGACTCGATTCCTTTCATGTGTGTCCTGGATGAATATTGCAAGTGAAACGCAACCAGGACCAGGGTGTGGCCAGGCTTGGGGTTTCTAATATTGCTTGAAGCAGCTCTTAAAGAGCAATTACTCATGGAGAAATGAATTACAGGCCCCACCTGGTTTGTGGGGAGGAAATTATATGGTGCGGCAGTTATCAACTGCCCTGCTCTGACTGGGTTTGATGGAAAAGTGACTGTCATGCAGTGTTGGGGAAGCTACTTTGAAACTGTAGCTTGCCAAGCTAAAAGCTACTTATAATTTAAAATAGTTATAGGTAACTACAGTAAAGCCACATTTTTGGTAAATTAATTAGCCACACTACACACTAATAACAAAACAGTAAAACTTGCTGTTACTTAAACTTGAGGAAAACTGACTTTATAAATACAACTAATTGGAAACCATGTTATTTTGGTATTATTTATAGTGTTACTATTTTTATTTTTTCATTTTTATTTTATTTGTACTTAAATTGTACTATATATATATATATATATATATATATATATTAGTGCTGCCAAACGATTAATCGAATACAAAATAAAAGTTTTTGTTTGTATAAAATATGCGTGTTCTGTGTATATTTATTATGTATATATAAACACACACACACACATACAGTGTATATTTTGAAAATATTATGTAAACAAAAACTTTTATTTTGGATGCGATTAATCGTTTGACTGTTTTTTTATTTATTAGATTTTTTTATCTTCAGTACTTAAGCATATTTTTATTTTAGTACTTAAACTTAAGCGTGCTATTGATGTAACGTTAATGTTTTCATCTAATATTTAATGTGTATATATAGCTTTATTTCAGTTAACGAAAAATAGTTTGTTTTAGTGTCAGTTAATAATGCACCAATGCTAGAAACACTCTACATTTATATAACTTGGTTGAAAACACTGATTAACAGCAGCATTTAATTAAATATTTTGCTATAAAACAGTAGACATAAAATGTTATGTAGGGACTTTGTACAATAAATTATTCAAACGATTGTCTAAAACGAATCCCACTTAGTTTAAGTGAGCGTTTGTTGCATTTTGGCCATCTGTAAGGCTACATTCTGTGTCCTACTGTAACACTACTGAAAACTGTAACTGAATTATCTGTGCATTTAGTTAGTTACTCCCCAACTTCTGACCACAGCTACTGCTGCCATTGTGCACAGCCCTTCCTCTCTTTCTTTCTCTCTCTCCCTCCCTTTCTCTCTCTCAGCTGGCTGCTCCGGTCTGTGTGTTGTGCAAGGGCTGCTGCATTGGGTATCTGTTATTGAGAATGCTCCGTGGAGGCTTGCGTTGGTTTTCAGTGTTTGCTAAAAGCATTATCAGGCATGACCCTCAGGTGTCTGTCGACGCTGTTTATGCGTGTGCACACTTTTACGTGGTGGGCTGAGGGAAGCTGTGCTTTTGTTTTGTTTTTTAGTGAGTTCTTGTTTTGAAGATGCTTGCTCTGACTCACTTCACTGTTAACCCCCTGCATCGTGTCCACCACGTGCACTGACCGCTTTTAAAGTGGGTAAACGATCCCTCTGTCTGCATTGAGTCAAAGCAGTGGGCCGGAGCCACATTAGCGCACTGCTGTCCGCCTGATCATCGTCCCTTATGGCCAAGCAGCTGATCTCATTTCTCTTCCTTTCATCTTCTGCAGCTCGTGGACGTACCAACCTGGAGCTTCGAGAAAAGTTCATTCTTCCAGAGGGAGCTACGCAGGGTCTGGCGGCCTTCCGGTCCCGGGGTCGGCGATCCAAACCTTCGTCGCGCACGGCTTCGCCCACCCGTTCATCTTCATCCGCGTCGCACAGCGCCCACAGCTGCGCCTCTCTACCCTCCGCACCCGCAACACCCACAGCCTCCTCAAGGGTGAGTGTCACCATATTACACTCCATAAGGAAATAACCCATACTTACTGTTTGTTGTGGGAGCATGCTTATACACTAATATCTTCATGAAAAATTTGAAGGTTAAATCAGTCTCAAACAGTTTTCGTGTCATATCAAATGTTTGGGGGTCTTTTTTTGGAAAGACCATAATACCTTTATTTAGCAAAGATGCATTTATTTGATCAAAAGTAACAGTAAATACTTTAGCTTTGCCATCACAGGAATAAATTACATTTTAAAATATATTCAAACAGAAAACAGTTATTTTAAACTGTAATAATATTTCACAATATTATTGTTCTTATTGTATTTTTGATCAAATATATGCAGCCTTGGTGAGCACCTTTAAAAACCATCAAAATCTTACTAACCCCAAACTTTTGAACTCTAGTGTACATTTAATCTTGATTATGTAGATATATCTACAGTTGTGCTTGTTTACAAGCATTTGTATAGACAGCATTTGCAGAATCGGTAATGATGTTTAGCATTTTACAAAAACAAGAGATAAAATCTTATATAATCTACTGCACTGAAGATGTTGACGCATAAGAGATCTTTGCATATATATATGCAGTACCAAATATGAGACAAAACCTAATAGTAATGAGAGCGATCTAGCAGACGAGCATAACTGTAGTTTCTCTTGCAAAAGCTTTGGTAACAAATGGTCCTTTGTCACATAACGCATAACATCATACTTCATATCTGAATGTTCATCATGGTCTTTGTCTACATCTGTACGTTACAAAGTATTATGAGTATTTAAATGTGTAATTGCATGTGTTTTATGTTTTCATCTAAAGTTTAAACATTAAAAAGATATATCTTAAGAAAATATTCCCATAAGCTTTTATAAGTTTGCTGGCATTTAATGCATTAAGTCCTATATTAAATATGAACAAAGTTTGTAATACTGGTTTAGTACGGTGCCAACCTTTTTGGATTTCTTTTTCAATGCACACACACACACACTACTTTTTTTTATTTAGCAAGGATGCATTAAATTGATCAAAGGCATGTAGAATGTTACAAAAGATTTCTGTTTCAAATAAATGCTGTTCTTTTGAACTTTCATTTAGAAAAAGTACTGAAAAAATAGCAGTTTCCACAAAAATATTAAGCAGCACAACTGTTTTATATTATAAAATAAGAAATAATTCTTGAGCACCAAATCAATATCGTAGACTGCTGAAAATTCAGCTTTCCCAGTACAGGATTAAATTACATTTTAAAATATATTCAAATAGGAAACAGTTATTTCAAATTGTAATAATATTTCACAATATTGCTGTTTTTACTACAATTTTCATCAAATAAATGCAGCCTTGGTGAGCATTTAGAAACCTCTTTTTAAAACATTTTTTAAAAATCTTAAGAGACACCAAACTTTTGTACGGTAGTATGTTTGTGTATATAATATATATAACATATAAAAAAATGTAGTTTTTTTTTTTTTTATCATTTCCAATTACTTGGCCAGGCCGACATTTGAGTCTTGTCACTAATCCTTAAGATGTCTTGAAATCAGCAGTGTGATGTCTCCTTTTTGGTGGATGGTTTCTCTGTCTCTGATTGTGGTGTTTGTTTACATTGTTGTTTTGGGATCAGGACATGGTCACTACTGTCTCTGCATGTCAAAATCACATTGTCATCTGTGAGATTTTTATTTGTTCTTTGTCTTTTTGTCCCTCTCCCCTCCCTTGCTTGGAAAATGTGCCTTCCTCCACCCTTCCTCCCTATCTGTGCTCATCTCCACTTACAAAAACACTATGCTCTGCCATGCTGCATCGCCTCCCTCCACTTTATTCTTTTTCCGATTATCCTGGCTTCTTCCCACTGCTTTTTTGCTACTCCACTCTTCCACGTCCTTTCTGCTACCGCATTTCCCAGTCCTCTCAATCCCAATCTCGTGGCTATGCCAAGCCCTGGCTGGCACACAGTAAAACTCCAACACCAACCAAGTGCCAGTCCTGCCCAGAGCACAGCCAGACCCCTGGGCATGAGGTAACACACTGCCCCCTCCCAGTGCGCTAGCTAGCACACTAACAGTAAAAGCTTTAAGTGCGGCCTGATCTCAACGAATGGGAAGGACCTGAGGTAGACCTACTCTGTAGCCCTTATATGTTGCTAAAGAGTGTAGACTGTTACCTTATGCAGCTTAGTCTCCAGTGTGAGAACAGACAGATGTAGCTGGCTTGAGAAACAGTTCATTTCATGTTCATCAAGGAGTTATTCTGTTAAACCTTCTTGTTATGACCGTTTTTATTCATCCAGGTCATGGTAGAGCATCTGGTAGAACATTAAAAGTATCTGGATTTTTCCAGAAAACAAATTCCAGTTACTTTTAGCTACATTTTACCAGATTTACCCGTTAGTCTTATTATCTGTAGCTACACAGGGAAATATGTCTGTGTGTAATAAACTTTCTCTCTTTGCTTTTATAGGGAGGCTCCACATCTAAACTGAAAAGACCAACTTTCCATTCCAGCCGTGGCTCCTTAACCGGTGAGAACGGTGGAACACCAACCGCTGCTAAACCTGGACGCTCCGGTACCAAACCCTGAACTGCTTCACTCAGACTTTTTAAACTGATGTGAATTAATATAATCTCCATTGTTGAGAAAGCTACACTGAAACTATAACATCACAAAGTACACTGAAAATGTAACAAGCGTATTCTGTAAAGTAGCTTTAAAACGGTATGTATTGTGAAAAGCACTATACAAAGAAACATGAACGTAAGTGTAATTGAACGTACAAACAGACCCTTCTGGAAAACACAAAAAGCACTGTATTGAAGCTATTTAAGAGGGCAATATAATTAAGTGCTGCAACCAATAAGTTTATGATTTTTACACGTTCAAGATCATCTTCACAAATAACTTTTATGAATGTTGAATCCTAAATACAATCGACAGAAGTAAAAAGCTAAAGGTAGGCTATAAATGAACTATAACACGGAGGCATGACTTCATCATCACCACCACTCTTTCAATCTTTAAGATGTACAAGTTGAAAATTTGAGTTGTAATAGTTTGCAAGAGCATGATTTTAAACAAAATGAGGCCGTAAAAGTGGACTAGCGAGTAGATGAGTTTTCCTCTTCTGGGTAATGACGAAAAATGTCCCCGACAACCTCTGTAGTCCCAGTTAGCCACTTGTTAACAACAAAAATGGGGTTTTACTGATGTATTTTATGTCATAGAATAAATATCTTCAGCTTGTGTTAACCACAGACCTAAACCAAAACCCATTCAGAAAACCCTTTGAGCCATTGGGGCAATGGAACCGGATATGTCCGGGTTTCAGGATGAATTCCTGCAGTACACTATTATAAATATATACTTGGGCATTGTTTTTTGTCTAGCATAATGAAACAATGTAACAATACATTTTCACAAAATTCTAAATGAATGAAACTAGAAACCACCTAAATTTATATTAGTCAAAGACACAGTGATGAACAGCAGGAGAAAGTCATTATTATATCAGTAAAAAAAGAAAGAAAGAAAGAAAGAAAACCTTTAGGACAGGAACTTGAGCTAATTAGTTAATATTTTTTGTTGCTGTTTGTTTTAAACAGTTCATTGATCAATCCAAACAAGCCTATTTTCTGATATTAATAAACTTGCTCTGCTCTAAATCACAGGGCACAAAAAAATGTCACATTCCACTTCTACATGTTGGATAAACTAGCCAATTACTGGTCAGTAATGGGTTAGATACAGTAGTAGTGTTGCTATTCCCAACTCTGCTAATATAACATTTTGATCTGGCTTTCCTTTATGTTTGTAATACACCCTGATTTGCTATATTACCAAACCTTTAAACTTGAATCATCTTCCTTCATCAGACACCAAACGCGCCCCGTCCTCGACGAGCGGCCCAGCCAGTCGAGCAGGGAGTCGTGCTGGAAGCCGAGCCAGCAGCCGAAGGGGCAGCGACGCTTCAGACACGTCTGAGCTCATGGAGACACGCTCGGCTTGCTCCGATACCTCAGACACCCCTCGCCGGCCTGGGGCCAAACCCTCCAAAATCCCCACCATCTCCAAGAAGGCCCCCAGCCCCAAAACACCAGCGGGCAAGAAATGAAGCCTCCACCCTATCAGTCTAAGTGACTGACTCTGAGGTGGTTGTGATTTAACCAGCAGGGGGAGAACACCAACACCTTCCTCTCTCCAGTGTCCAGCACAGCCACACACTGCTACACAACCCAGATCAATACCTACCATAATGCTGCCTTATTTGTGTTCTACATCATGTCCTTAATTTGACTGACATTGCGTTTTCTTGAATGTGCGATGGAGAACATCTGGTGTGAGCAGACATATCTACACAGACACTCGGGAGGGACGTCAGTCCTGCACCAGGGGTTTTCACTATTCTTCACTATGAATATGCAACCGCCCGTCACTCTCCAAACCTCATGCATGGTTGTCACTTTGGTTGGACAGACTCGCCCTTTTCAAGTGTACGCAGACCAGTCTCTCCCGAGTGTCTGTGCCTCCGCAAACAAGAGGAAACAAATGAAAAACAGAGACATTTTCCTCCTGGACACTTGGGACTTTTTGGACTCATGTATGTTTGTGTGTATGTATGTGTGGTAGTTCCTGTCATGGTAAATTAACGCAGTAATACGGAGAGGAAGTGGAGGAGGATACATATCTCTAGCCTTCCCACGCCTGAAGATCCTTGAAGACTAGATTCCTCACGTCACACGTGATCCTTTTAAAGGAACTCCTATAGCGCACAGCACACGTTCACACCGACGGTCTTCTCCACTGTGTGTCCACGCAGTCTAGTTGTGTCCTTTTGTTACAGACATCATGTTTCAGAGCTTTTCCACAGTATGCAAAAATGATTACAATTGTGAATGTTTGTTTCATGGTTAATTTATAATCCTGACATTTTGTTTCTTTTCTAGAGTAAAGAGCTGTATTTATTTGTGATTGCACTATCATATGAACTCTTAAGAATGACTAGTATTAACACAACCGGAATCACTCTTGGTTTCGTTTTTGTACATCTGCTCCTGACGTAATGAATTTCTCCGACTGATGTTATAACTGACCAGGAAGCTTACTGATTCCAATGGTGGCCTTTTTGCCGGCGACTAGACTTTAGATGACGTCAAAAGTGGCTTCCTACTTGTTCTTTCGTGACGGAAGCACCCTAAATAATGAATGATGGGGGCGGCTCGCATAGCCCCCGTTAAAAACGGCGCTTTGAATCTTGTCTTTGACAAGCTGAAGTATATGAATACCTGAAGAAAGGTGATTTTTATTTATTTATTGTGTCATTGGGAGGGAGGTGAGGGCTGTGAAAGGATCCACCTTTTGATTGTTACTCTTTTGACATGACTGAGAGAAACGGGTGCAATTGTGTAAAAGTAAAGAAGTTATGATTATAAATCCTTTTTGTTCTCTTTTGTATTAAAACAATGCTTGCAGTAAAACGGTCTGGTTTTGTGTTGTCGAGTGGTGTGTGTGTGTGTGTGTGTGAGTGAGAACGTGCAGGGATGCCACAGTTAACAGGAAATGGCACAGTAATTACAAGTAGTAGAGATAATGACACACCCCATTAAATCTTCAAAAGGAGACGAAGCTTTGGTGTGTGCAGAGATTTGAACACACTGTGCTTTTATAGAAGATTTACACAGTCGTTCGGGAGTTCAGAAATGGCCCACGAGTGAATAGAAGCACCTTTGTTTGTGCCACACACGTAAGTAGTGTGTGTTTGTACTGGACTCTGTGTATGTTTGGTGGTCAGATGCAGCGGATGGGGTTTGGGAAGGGTGGCGTTCCATCATCTCCATTCTGCAGCTGTGTGTCTGTTTATATACAAATATTTAAACCCACTCACATCCTTTCCCACCAAACACCATCCACACCACTGCTGAGCTCTCATGGCATCTTACAGTCCTGCAGTGTCATTTCATTTTTATAATCAACTGAGTTAAATACTCATAACCACTCACTTTTTGCATTTTTAGTGGTTTTTATCAATCGACTGTTTTTCCTATTAAAACATGTCAGTAAGTCTCACTTTATATGGGTGTATTTGCGCAGTTGACAAATGGCATGTCAATGGACCTCTTTTTTATTTCAGATTTCAACAAGATTTTAGGTAAAATGGTAAAGTGGTCTATTAAGTGTACATGTGTATGTAAATTATTACATATTTTTTTATATATTTTTGTCTGCATATTGTGTGTGTGTGTTTAAGAAAAGGTATAAAATGGTTTAATGGTTTTAGATTAAGCAAAATCAATTCTGTCACTGGTTCATACTGTGACCCTGGACCACAAAACCAGTCATAAGTAGCATGGGTATATTTGTAGCAATAGCCAACAATACACTATGGGTCAAAATTATCGATTTTTCTTTTAGACTATGCCAAAATCATTAGGATAAGTAAAGATCATGTTTAAGATATTTTGTACACTTTTACTACCGTAAATATATCAAAACATAATTTTTGATTAGTAATATGCATTGCTAAGGACTTCATCTGGACAGCTTTAAAGGCGAATTTCTCAATATTTTGATTTTTTTGCACCTTCAGATTCCAGATTTTCAAATAGTTGTATCTTGGTCAAATATTGTCCTATCCTAACAATATTGTCCTAGCCTATCTTAAGCTTATTTATTCAGCTTTCAGATGATGTATAAATCTCAATTTCAAAAACAATGACTCTGGTTTTGTGGTCCAGGGTCACATTTTCACTACCTGTCTGCAGGGACAGTTTTAAGAGTTCATTTTCTATTCACACCAAGTAGAACCCACAAATTTCTCGAAATTGCCATCTTTATATCTTCAGTAAGACAGCAGTGATCTGTCACTCCTTGGCTACTATTGAAACCTCAGAATATAAATATAGTTTTCATATTACCATAGCCATAAGAACTCATTTCTAGTCTGTGCAAAGGCTAGATCACATCTGAGAACATCTTTATGGCAAACCACATGATAATTGTCAGCCATTTGTGAGGTATGTGTAGAAGATGAGACGGTTTGATAGTAGATGGAGATTGAGGTGAGAAGGGTTTAGGGAAGAGAGGGCGGAGGATCCAGTCGTTGGAAACACTCCCTCTGCGCAAGTGTGTATCTTGGAGGGAATGAGGTCACCCGTGTTCAGATTATGCCCTCAACGCAAGCAGCACACAGGCTAAGAATACCACAGCTCACTGGGATCTCGCAACTTTACAATTCGGAAAGACGTTTGGGGTCCGTAATGCTACTCTGGTGAACAAATCATACAATTTTGAATTTTTATTTTTTTTTTTTTCAGGAGTCTTGGATATTTCCACTCATTGGATTAAATGTTCTAACCCCAATATTGATTACTGCAAGGAAGTTTTTGTAGCTTTTTGTTTTTCAATTAAACTTTGAGGATTTCATCAGCTTGGAGTCGCGACTCATCTTCTCAAAAGGAGCATAAGCAGGTGTTGTGTTTGATCCAGAAACTTTTGAAGAAAAAAACTTTGAAACCTAATGTTTGTGAGGCCCTGTGTTTTTATTTACTCTAGCTAAAGACTTTAATTTCACATTGTGCTTAGTCCTTCCAACTTCGAGATCATCGCTGAAGGGAGTTGAGCTAGGAAGACCTGTTTGTTTTCTCTTCCAGTTTCTAGGATATTTTTTGTCGTCCATCTCCATAAGCACACTGTAGATTATGAGAGAAGCCCTGCGGTTTGGTAAATAAAGTGACAGCATGAGGAACGACTGTCAAAAGGCGATAAACTGAGCGGCTTGTAGCAGTAAACACTGCACTCTCCCAAATAACGATGACTGCTGTGGAATCTGAATGGCTTAGACGTCTGAGTGTCGTTCAGAGTTGAACTTCAAGACGGTAGTCAGACCATTCCAGAGAAGACCGACGTTGGGTAAACACCCAGAGGTTTTGGAAGGACAAATACGATCTTTATAGACCGCTGCAATGGAGCAGAGCTCTTCTGCTGCACCAATGGACAAACAAGAGTGTGTGGTTGAGTTTGTGTCCTCACACCGCAGCAGAGGGAGGAAGGAGAGCTGTGGCAGCCGAACCCGAGGCCACCAGCGACTGTTTCCTCTGCCTGTCCTCCTCCCTCTCTGCATGCTGCTGTGTGTTTGGGCTCAGGTGGAAGGAGTGGTTCATTCCAGCTTCCGCAGACTCAGTGGTCGTGAAAAGAAGGAGATGCAGAAGGAGATTTTATCCATTCTGGGTTTACCCGGCCGGCCCAGACCTCACTCGCCACTGCGGCCCCCTTCCTCCGCCCCGCTCTTCATGCTGGACCTTTACCATGTCGTGTCGTCCGAGGCCGATGATGGCCCAGGTTTGGGCTTCACTCCGGAAGGGGTCAGTCACGCGGCGCTGCCCACCTTAAGCATGCACACGCCGCCCCTCGGCACAGTGGTTAGCGAGGCCGACACGGTTATGAGCTTTGTCAACCTGGGTAAGTGACAGCTGGCAAGGGTTAAACACACTTCACTTATATAGAACACATTAATTACTATGCAGCGGCTCATGTGTGGACATAAACCACATTTGAAAATGTGTAAATGTCACTGTATTACATAAAGTATTAGACCAAGTATCATTTATTTTAAAGAAAGATGAGGCAATCTAAACATTTCACAATGAGAAGTTTGTTGCAATAACAAATACTTTTACAAAAAAGTATTTTGGACACTTGCTGTTTGTCGAACTGGAACTGGAACTGGAACTTAATGTCAGTGTTAATTTAATATTATTTATATACTATATTTTATTTATAGATTATTTTTATTAATATTTTGAATTAACTTTTTTATATTTTTAATATAAAAAATTTTTTTTTTTTTTTTTTAATTTTATAGTTTTAGTAATTTTGTTATGTGCTTTTGTCGTTAGTTTTTGTTTTGTTTTAATATTTTGATTCATTTGGTTTTTTTGTTTGTTTTTTGTTTTAGTATTTAAAATTCAGCGTATTTTATTTCAGTTAGTTGCCAAGGCAATACTTCTATTTTTTATTAATTTTTTTCATCTAATATTTATATTTTATTTTAACTTTATTTCAATTAAAAATATATATTTTTAGATTTAGCTAACAGTAAAAACACCGGTTTATATGAAAGCCTGTCTGCCTTGTGCCACGTGAGATCAAGTTAATAAACTAAAGAAATAATAAGAATAAAATAAGAAGCAAAATTACACTGTTAAATATAAAGTCACAATTAGTTGAGCGTGTAGGATTTTATAGTACAATCCCTTAGAATAATCGGCACTTTGTTGACATCTTGAGTGGAGAGTAGGGGTAATCACTTCATAGGGGTCATCAGGTGGGCACCCTCCTTCCTCTGTGTTTCGTTGATAGGCCCACGACACCTCCAAAGGGCTCAACAGCAACACCTGGCGTCCCAGGTGCGCTCCCCTCTAGGTCCTTTTGCAGCCCATTTTGGATCCTTCCTTTTTAGCCACAGTCAGTTGCTGCTTCGCTCAGCAGCCTCTGACAGCGACCTAATGGCTTGTCGTAAGACCTGTCCTCTGACTCCCAACCCCTTCAGTAGCCTGGTTGTTGCCGTGGCTACAAAACCTCTGCACCCAAACTCTACGGGGAGCAACTGTGTTCGCCAGCTCCGTTGTACTGCTTCGGTTAAAAGGTCTGAATACTTCAGCCTTTTACATTCATTTGCTTCACCAATTGCAGCCTCCCATGGCACAGTTAGTTCCAAGATGAACAAGGACTTTTGTGAGGTTGACCACAGTATTAGGTCTGGCCTGAGGTTAGTTGTAATTATCTCAGGTGGAAAGCTGAGCTTCTGGTCCAGATCAACCTGCATTTTCCAGTCCCAGGCAGTGTTTAGCAGGGTTGTTTCCATTTTTGTAGTGGGCTTTACTGGAAGCTGTCCTGCTCTTACGAAGGTGGTGGCTTTTGAGAATCCAGGCGTTGGAGGAGGGAGGGCATTTGTGGTGATTCTCTGGATAATCGCCAGTTGTCTCAAAACCTGATTGTGCCTCCAGGTGTAACGTCCTTGTGAAAGACTGGTTTTGCAGCTGACGAGGATATGCCTTAGCGTTGCTGGGGTTTGACAGAGAGGACATGATGGATCTTCTCCAATCCATTGGTTTAGGTTCTTGTGTGTGGGGAGAACATCATAGTTGGCTCTGATGATGAAGCTCAATCTGCCTCCTTCCATCTCCCAAAGATCCTTCCAGGTGAGTTTACGTTGCTCCAGATTTTCCCAATTAGTCCACTGTCTCTGTTTGGACTGCGAGACAGCCTTTCTGCATCTCTCTGCCTCCTCTTGCTGCTGGACCTCGGCTACTATCAGTTTACTCCTCTGGGCGGATGTTGCTTTGTACCATATGGGTCGGCTTGTCCCAAGTCCAAAACCCCCTCTTCCCTGCTGCACCTGTCCTACAATGTCTCCATGCCTGAGAGCGGATTTTGCCTGCTGTATGACCTCAGTCAGGGTCCACTTGCTCCCAGTTGC